GCCCACTGCCATTCTCCGCGGCCATGCCTCGCACATCCACGCAACTTTGTTTGTTCGCCAGAACAGTCGTTTGTTGACGGGCGACGCAGATGGCTGGGTCGTCCTCTGGAATGTTCAGACGAAGCGACCAACTGCTGTCTGGCCAGCTCACGATGGCCCCATCCTAGCCTTCGCCCAATGGGGCGATGCAAATATCATAACGTGCGTGTCACTGTAGCAAACCACCAATCACCCTAAGACTAGCCCACGTCTGCCTGACGAGCTCTACTAACCTCAGATCGCGGATACAGACATGGACGGGACAACAGAATAAGAGTCTGGCGACTTGCACTCGAAGACGAGACAGAGAAGCTTTCATCAACATTACCTGAAGATGGGAACCGAGAACACACGCCCAAACCGTGGCTTCTTCATTCGCTTCCCGTCAACACTCTCAACTTCTGCTCTTTCTCCATGGGCTATCAGCATCCTCCAGCCTCTGTCGCAGAGGATGACTCCATCTTTGTGGCAGTCCCGTCAACAGACGACAAGGTGATCGACGTGTATAGCTTCCCTGGTGAGCTACTCAAGGTCAGGATCCCACAGATACGAACCGTCGAAACAGGCATGGTCATGGCCGTGAGATTTGTTCGTAATAGAGCCACGCAGAGACTTCTCCTGCTCGCAGGGTATGAAGGCGGGGTCACTGCAGCCTTCAAGCTGACTGAAGAACACCCCGACACGAGCGTAGAGACTGCCCAGCTTGTATACCTCAGTCAACCCCATTCTCAGCCGATTCTGTCATTGGACGCTTCGCCAGAGGGCGACTTCTATTTCACATCCTCGGCAGATGCTATAGTAGCCAAGCATCAGATACCGGAGTTGCCATCCATTCCGGGTAAAGAAGACAACGACCCACCCGTACCGTCTTCAGATCTATTCACAAAGCAAACTGTTGATCAGGCGAGCTCCAAGAAAGCGACACCCAGCGGTCTATCTTCACTGCTTTCGTCGGCCGCACCGCTACCGAAGTTCAAGCCTGCTCCGCCTGTCCAGAAAGTGGTCAGCTTACAAGCCCCGTACAAAACAACAGACACCAAACACGCAGGTCAACAGTCGCTCCGTGTCCGCTCGGATGGCAGGCTTCTGATTACCGGTGGTTGGGACTCACGGATCCGCATATACAGCACCAAGACGCTCAAGGAAGTTGCCGTGCTAAAGTGGCACAAGGAAGGAGTCTACTCCACTGCATTCGGTGAGATTCTTACACAAGATGAGATAGGTCGCGGAGATGGGGCTACCAATAAGCGGCAAAGAGACCGTGAGGAGCAGTCGAAGCTTAAACACTGGGTCGCGGCAGGAGCTAAAGACGGGAAAGTCAGTTTGTGGGAAGTGTTTTGAGGTCTGTCCGGCTTCTTGTGGGGTTTGGAGTACGCCGACGGTCCCATGATGACGCATTTATACAGATAGATGTATTGTAGTATCAAGTGGCACGTTAATAGCAATCTACCAAGCAATTACAAGAGTCGGTGGTGCTGATGTATAGCGAATCGGAGGTGATGCTGCGCCGGCGTGGCTTCCCCACAAGAAGCCGAGGCATAGCGACCGGGGAAGTGGGCTTGCGATGTCACCGTCCATCGTCGCGACGCTCCATGCCTGCTTCACCATGTCGTAGCAACAGTGCCAACGTGGACTGACACGAAACTAAAACACCCGAAAAACTCCATCTCCCGAGATCGATTCCTAAACGCGTCCTTCCCATGCGATACGCGCTTTCCGCCGCACCCTTTCCCTAAGGAGACGCTCCTTGCATATCCCACATCCGCATTCCAATCAGCATGGCCTCCTCAGACGAGGACCGGAAGTCCTCCACCGCGCGCCCCTCCAGCCCCGAACAAGCTCCCGATCTCAGCATCACAGCCGACGACAATGTCTACCTGCACGCAGCCGGCTACAACGAATCGCCCGACCGCGGCCTTATACACAGCTTCGCGCGCTTCCGATCCTCGCCGCTCGATTTCATTCGCGAAGTCTCGCTACACTTCTCAGGGACAGGATGGAGGTCTTTTGACGATCACATTGGGCAGCCAGAGTTCTACCCAGGCTTTAGCGAGGATATGAAGGCGAGGGTGTTGAGCAACCCAATGCTCGTCGCCAAAGTGCGAGAGTTGGCGGACAAAAGGGTAGAGGTTGAGGCGAAAGAAGGGCTGTTGGGCGAGGATGCGATGCATGGGGTTGGTGTCGGCGAGAAAGATAAAAAGGCAAAGAGGAGGGTGCAGATTGAGGAATCGCTTATGCAGGTCAGCGAGGGCTGGACGGATTCCATGATCTGCAAGATGGAAAGCAAAGGCTTCATAAGAGGTGCATACTATTTCGCTACACAACTCTTGACAAGAGCATACCACCAGGGCGTCCACGTCTCGAGCGAGGAAGTGCTACGCCTGCGCGCTGTCGCCGAGAAGGCAGCAAAAGACAAGCACTCCATTATCTTCCTTCCGTGTCACCGCTCGCACGTAGACTACGTCTCGCTACAAATCATCTGCTACCGACTCGGGCTTGCCTTGCCCACAGTCGTGGCTGGTGACAACCTCAACTTCCCAGTCGTCGGGTCCTTCCTTCAACACGCCGGCGCTATGTGGATACGAAGGAGCTTCGGGGACGATCAGCTGTACATTACACTTGTACAATCCTACATCGATACCCTGCTGCAATGTGGATACAATCTGGAGTGCTTCGTAGAAGGAGGGAGAAGTCGTACAGGCAAGCTTCTGCCGCCCAAGTTCGGCATACTGAGTTACATGCTCGACAGTATCGCGAGCGGTAGGGTAGAGGACGCGATCATTTGCCCGGTATCGACGCAGTACGATAAGGTCATCGAGGTTGAGTAAGTCTTTCGATCAGCTTGTTCCCATAAGGAAAACTAACACACCCCAGCTCATACATTAGCGAACTCCTCGGTCAACCCAAACCCAAAGAAAACCTCATGGACTTCCTGTCCGCTTCCAGTGTCCTCTCCCTTAAACTCGGCCGCGTAGACGTCCGATTCCACGAGCCATGGTCACTCAAATCCTTCATTAATCAGCAACGCGAACGCTTCTCTAAACTTCCGCAGCAACTCGATACCAAAGACGACCGACTCCGTCTCCTCCGCACACTGGGCTACAAAGTTTTGTCAGAGATCAACGACGTCTCCGTCGTGATGCCCACCGCTCTCGTTGGTACCGTCTTACTGACATTGAGAGGTCGTGGTGTAGGCAAATCAGAACTCATCCGCCGAGTCGAATGGCTTAGCGACCGTGTCAGGGCTCAAGGTGGCCGTGTAGCACATTTTGGGAACCTCCCCACTAGTGTCGTTGTCGACCGCGCTTTAGAAGTTCTGGGACCTGGACTTGTTGGCCTAGTCCCCGGATTACCAGAAGACACATTTTACGCCGTGGATAGGTTCCAACTCTCCTTCTACAGAAACATGACCATTCATCTCTTCATCCTACAAAGCCTGGTCAGCGCAGCGCTATACACGCATGTAAAGCAGGGCGGTGGCCCAGAGTATCAACGCATGTCTTACGGTGACCTGCGCGCACAGGTGCACTTCCTCTCGCAGCTCTTCCGGGGAGAATTTATCTTCCCCACCGAAGGTCTCGATACCAATCTCGCCAAGACACTCGAAGGACTAGAAAAAGACGGTGTCATCACGATGTCACGGTCAAAAACCGAGCTCGGCGAAGAAACCGTGGATTTCGTCGAATTATCACCTGCTGAACGGACCCAAGGACGCGAAAACTATGACTTCTACTGTTTCCTCATCTGGCCGTTCATCGAAGCTGCATGGCTCGGTGCTATCAGTCTGATGATGCTCACACCTCCCCTGTCATCCCCCAATGCTACATCGCCATCTCCATCCTCTTGGCTCGACCTCAAGAAAGTCCAAGACCGCGCACAAGTTCTCGGCAAGACTCTCTACCACCAGGGCGACCTTTCTTACTTCGAGGCTGTAAACAAGGAAACACTGAAGAATGCGTACACACGCTTCCAGGAAGAAGGCATGATTCTCGTTACAAAGTCCAAAGACAAGACGCCCGCCACTATCAGACTAGCAGAGGAGTGGACTCCGCAAAGAGGGTCGAACGGTGGCATCATCGCCGATGGTCCATTATGGCGCTTCGCTGAGCGCATTAGTGCTTCGCGGAGAGAAGGCAAGAATCGGCGCGATGGAGCGACAGTTCAGACGAGAGTTTTGGCACTAGCGGATCTGGTTGGTGAGAAGCTTTGGGAGGATGCTGTGTTCGATAGAAAGGAGTTGGATGGGGATGAGTTGGGTGCTGTTGAAGGGAAGGCGAAGAGCATGCGGAAGAGAGGGAATATGGCGCGACTTTAGCTTGCTTGTTGTGTGGGATATCATGTACTTTAGCTTTAACAGATATACCATTTGATTGTTCGTTCCATTGCCATTTCATGGGCATAACAATTCCGTTTCTGCTCATGATGTTCTTCTCAATCAGGGAGACGAAGCATGGACCGTGATGTAGGTCGCAAGGTTCTATACGTCCAACACATCGCCAACGGTGGTTGTATGTGAATACAAGGACATATACTCCTGTTGTGAAACACGTAAATGGACGGTCGGATGCCTACACATCACTCGTAATGCTTAGTCGTTCCCACAAAACAGCCCTGAGTTCTCGCAGAGACCTTACATATGCCTCACTTCCCTATCTTGGGTGTATGTGGCGGTGAAGAGTCGGTAAGTCACCCGTATTACTCCAAGGGGTGACACACAGTTACCCTCTCACCTCAAGGTGATATTGACGCTAGGTAACTCCGGTGCCTCGATAATGAGGTTTTGTGACTGGGCTTCATATAAAGCTGCCTCATATATTCTCTCTCAGTACTATATCTCCTTCCTTCTTTCATCAACAGCACTCCCGCCTGCTGAAACGTACAGTCAACCACACCAGTAAGCTGAGTCTGTTCATCCCTCTGTTCGACAAGATACTGACAGCAATCGCAGCTACGAGGACAAAATGCCCAGCTGCCCACGTTACACCAAAGAGCAGTTGCTCGACATGCTTCAAGAGCAATGTCCCGGTGTCATGGCCAGACTTCCCTCGCCTGAAACTTTCATCTTCCGAGATCTTCGAAAGCCAATGCTTCGTATTGGCACCTGCACTAAAGGAAAGCGCAGCCCAACAACGTACGAGCTTCATGTTCAGTGTGGCGGCAAGCCCGAGGCAAAGCCTGTCTTGCACTATGACGTCGAAAACGACGATCGAAGCTTCAACGGCGATGGATTCTTCAAGAATATGAACGGGACGTACATTTACTCGGATAAGCTCAAGGCAGTGATCGCCTTTGTCTTTGTTTACTGCGGCCAGATGGATGTGTTCTGCGACTTCGGCTTCGGAAATGGCTTCAAATTGCTGGTCGAAGTACTGAATCATGTGCTCTCTGAAGTCGAGGATGGCGCCGCCTCCAGCAACGATACTGCAGAGGCTTCAGATGCGCATGCAAACATGGTCAAAATCCCCGATGACGACCGCTCTGAAGAGATGCTGCCCGAGGAATACCCTCATAAGTCACTGGACAATATACTCTCTGAGAAGCCCAGGAAGAGATCGCTTAGAGTCGAAAGCGATGAACACGTGGTGCAGAAGAAGCTCTGCGTTGAGTAGGCAGCCGCACTGACTTCTGCCCTGTGCTACTGTAATTGAACGAGTCTGATCACAGCTTACCTGGGAGATGCTAACCATACTTCAGGCTACAGGTTGCGAGAAAAGGCGATTCATAGCCAGAAAATTTGCGGGCGAGACTAAAAGTTGATGAAGCGAGTTGAGATGGGTTGAAAAACTGATGACCATTACAGAGGGCTCGTGAGGAAGGTCTCGAGAACGACTCATAATCGATGACAGTATCTCTTACCTTCATGGCTTCCAAAATCAATAATCACCTTCAAAATCCCTTCTTCCTTTCTTCAGCTCTTTCGTGATTTCACCTTATACAAGGAAACAACTAAACGCCCTGAAGTCTTCATTAATGCCAGATCCTTCAATTTGTGTGCATTCATTGCTGTGTAGTCTGCAGACCTGTTCGGTTTGTTTCAGGTGCGGCGGCTATCCTGATCGTCGTTGGTAAGGACTGCCTAGATTTCGATGCGCGTTGAGTTGGGTCTAGACAGGAAAAGCATGTACGGGAATGGTCCAGAGTGAATTAAGTCTCCCCAAGGAATCTCAACACTTCCAAATCTCCAGAGCTCTGTTGCTTCGTGCCCGCGCTTCTGTGTCGTGACATTCCATGTAGTGACTGCGACTCAATCATGGTCGCTTGGGGGAAAATCCAAATATTCCACATTGGCCTTAATACTCAGCCTTCCGGATGTGAAGGTAATTGCTATACCGTCTCCTGTTCGCGACTTCCAGGCACGACGAGTGACATCACGCAAGCACGCGTTCCGCGCTACGCCGAAAATAGGAAGATGCTTGCTTAGCGCGTTGCGCTTCCAGCGGGATGATGCGCCCCGCCACCTCAATTCCACGCAAGCAGGATAGTGCAAGACCCTCGTCCGGCAACCATGATGGACACCGAGGAAGTGCTGGATCTGTATGACATCGCAGTCTTACTCAATTACGAACGCAACACTACGGAACCTCGGCTCCGACACACAAAGTTGAGAGAAGTCGCTTTCCCGGGTACACAACCGAAGACGGTCGCACTCAGCAGTCCAATTGACCAAGGCTGGAACAACAACGCGTCTACTTGGATCGTATTGGATCAGCAGCAGACCAGTGATCCAGATGCCCCAGACCTGCCTACGGAATTCCTACCCGCGAACAAACGCCAGGATAGCGCACTCTCCAATGAGCAACTAGAGACGTTGTTCCATCAAGCACGCAACCACGATGGCTGCTACCAGGCAATCAGTCTGCTTCAGATCTTCTTTGCACTGTTCTCCGAAGATACAAAGTTGAGAGTGCGACATGCGCCCAATGGTAAGCAGCCAGGCATGTCTTATACGACAACAGTCAGTAGGCGTGTCATTGTCGAAGAGTCCTTCCGTGACCCAAAGTTCACCACTGCTATCTGCGTGCTCCCACAGGGCGCAATGTTTGTTAGTGGGCATCAGCCACAACTTCTGCATGCGGTCGTAGGTTTCTCTCCGCTCGATAGCGACACGGTTCAATCCTTCTTCGATCTCTCGTCCATGCAGTTCGGCGATATAGGACGCGGCCCTGGACCAAAGGGAAAGCAGTTGTTTGCTCTGGACACCCCAGAGGAATTTGCCCTGCGTTTCAGCATGTTGGCAAAGGGTACAGATCCTAGCAAGAGCGACCGCACCTTAGCGATCAGTGGTACACCCGTAGACGATTGGCTTTGGGAAGTGGCGATGAGGACGAAAAAGAGGTGGATGAATAGAGCGACGGAGAAATGGTGTGGTCACTGTGGAGCACCAGGTGCCAAATCCAAGTGTGCTGGATGCGGCGAGGCGTACTATTGCGGCAAGGACCATCAAAAGTTAGCTTGGGGATATCATAAAGGATATTGCGGGAAGCCTTGATGAAGGTTCTGACGAACGCAGAACCTGCAAAATAACGGACATCTCGTAGAACGTCTTAAATCTTGGTGGGTCATATAACAGGGGGGTATAATTCATCAACACTAGAGTTGTATCTAGAGCTGCACTGCACTTCAAATGCACGTCTATCTTTCCATCCACTGTGCGGCATGCAGTATCAGACTGTGCAAGACAGCACAAAGACATTAACCGCTTTCCAGGACGATGGCCATATCATCCGCGACCGAATGCAACACTACTGTACTCACATCCTCCCATTCGGCAACTCATTAATGGTGGCTGGAACTGGCGGCGACATAGCTGGGGAGTACTGCGGTACAGGGCTCACTGGCCCGTCCGAATAGTGCGGGTTCGCCTGCACAGGATTCACAGCACCTTGTATTTTCTCCGGCATCGCATAGCCACCCTGCTGCGCAGCATACGCAGACTGAGCATTGGGGTCATAGAAATGTTGCGCGGGTTGCTGTGCGTTCGGATCGTACTGACCGTAGTGCTGTTGGTGTTGAGGAGGTGGAGACGGCATCTGTTGCATGTGTTGCTGAGGGACGGGCTTCTGCTCGTGGTAGTACTGGACACCGGCTGGTGGAGCTTGAGGTGCGGTGGGTGGCTGCTGCATGTTGTTGTTGACGGTGGTATTGTTCTGTTGCTTCTTCTTGCGGCGAAGAAGGAAGAAGACTCCGAGAACTACAGCGGCTAGAAGAGCGACGCCGCCGATTACTCCACCGGCGATTGCGCCTACTGGAGTTGACTTCTTGGAATTGTTGGATTCGTTGGAGTTGTTGGAGTCGTTGGAATCTTCGTTACCGGAGGAAGGTGTAAGGTCAAGTGGTGCATCTGAGGGACGACCGGAAGCGGTACGTGAGAGTGGAGTGAATGACAGAGAGATTGGGGTATTCGAGGATGAGCCAGTGTTAGGGGAGGTCGATGAATCTTGGAAGTGTGTTGTCAGTCAATGCTTCATCAAGGTTAGAGAGATTGCATACCCTGGTCTGGGGTGGTCACTAAGATCCTTCCTCCCGTTTCCGTCTTAGCATCGCACCAGTAGTTGGTCAATGGTGAAGGGTCATTGATATCTGTTGCCAGCTCCCAGTAGCTGCAAGTTAAGTTTGAGCCTCCACTGCGATGCCATGTTAGTATACAATATCTAGGCGACCAGGAGCCAGAACGTACCAGAAGACTGATGTAGTCGGGTACACAACGTAATCGCTCTCACAAGAAAAGAACTCGCAAAGAGATTCTGGCGCACAGATCTTGTAAAGGCTACCTGATGTTGCGATGACATGACCCTCGTTATTTGCAGTGATGGTGTCATCTAAGACTTCTTAGCAACAGTCGAGCAGCCATGTAGGTAATCAATCTTACACAATGTACTCGAGCCATACATGCCTGTGGAAATATATCCAAGGGTAGTAACATCTCTAGCAGCCAGTGCTACAGCTGTTGCAGCAGGGGCAGGCGTGACAGCAGGCGTCGGTGCCCGTATCATAGCAGTGCTCCCATACTTTGCGGAAAAGAGAACGACCAGCAATGAAGAAAGCCTGGTATATGCCATGACGTTTCAGACCCGAGAAATTACAGAACGAGGAGCAGAAAGCACCCTTAAGGAAAGAGCAGGGCCCTATAAGCTAAGTACTCATACCTAGGTATGTTGAGCTACGTACAATGAGAAAGATACTGCGCCGTAAGGCGTGCAGCGACCCGCTGGGGCTTGCCGGCTGCGGCCACACATACGAGGAGAGCGTATTGAAGGCTGATCAGCTGAGATTTTGTGCAATTGGGTTTTATGAAGTGTTCGGTTGGACGTGCTTGTCGTACAGGCAGGATTGCTGCAATACTTGCACCACACCTACGCTTTTCCTGCTCATTCTTTCCGTTACTGCATCATTTCAAGCACAGTTGTTCAGTATTTTCACAAGGTGTTCGTCTTGACGCTAGACGCAATGGTGACCGCTGCAGGGACAACGGATGTGTAACTAGCATGGGGTAGCGAGCTGAAGAAGAAAGAAACAATCCGCCTCGCTTGTGTAGCGCCGCCATAGGCTGTAAACAGGCCGCTTGCAGCCATCACCACCGTGCGCTTTACCTTTTTAATATGAACACCAGGCACGTCGGATGTCTTGGTCGCCAGATAGTCTCACCGGTAAGCCATGTGTTGTGCGACACGGCAGAGTCGCATGCAGATCCCCATCGTGGCCGTGAACTGCCGAGGTAGGGTTTGAGGCGCAATAATTTCAAGCCTTCTCATGTCCCAAATGACAGCTGCAAGTAATGAGCTTGTGCACGATTGTATCGTTGGGAGTGTTTTGGTGCGAATCGAGGCCCGTAAGGTTTGGTTGCCTACATAACTTTGGAGAACAGGTGCTAGTCGGTCCGAAAGCTCTACACGATGGGTCACATTTGGCCCCCAAACCTTTAATGAGTCAGTGCCGCAGCAAGCAGATTTCGGCTGAAGGTCCTTAGGGTGGCTTGGAACAGAGTGGGGATAACAGAGGAGCATCTTGCACGTGGGCTTGGAGCCTTCATTACGCTGTCGTTATCTTTTCAGTCGGGTCTATCTCTTCACGCCAGGACATCTAATGTCCATGGCCATCGTCACCACCTCCACCTTGCTCCTCTGGATCCAGCTTGATCAGGGTATCGATACGCATAATGGCAACACACGCCTCCACTGCTGACTTCAATTGCTTGACTTTGCTCATGCTGGGTTCCAGTACACCGGCCTTTAGGCAATCGTGCACTTTACCGTTTGACAGGTCCAGACCGTAGTTCTTGTAGTTCTTCGACTTGGCCAGCTGCTTTGCGTCTTGCGACGAAGGGTCTGAAGGGTTCACTGTACGCTGTGAAAGAGCGTGCCGTGATCGGAGGTTGGCGACGAGCTCGGTAGCATCCTTGGCCGCGTTGATGGCAAGTGTCTTAGGAATAGCAAGCAGAGACTGCGCAAAAGCAGCAATGGCCAACTGTTCCCGAGAGCCCTAGACTTGTCGTTAGTCACGTTGTAGACATGCAAGGATTGGAGTGACTCACCACTGACGTTGCCCACTCTTCCAAGTAGATGTGCAACGCAGTCTCGACGGCACCTCCACCAGGGACAATGCGGCCGCT